CACACACACACACACACACACACACACACACACACACACACACACACACACACACACACACACACAAGCCGCAATAGAAGCAGCAGTTGCACGTGAACGCGCATTGTTGCTCGGCCTGTCGGCGCCGTGCACCCCTTCCCCCTCATCTTTCCTCCCATATTGTGATGTCTTCTCGCGATAATTCCTCACCTGTCTATTAACTGAAGAAGCAATCACTGAAGTCTCGCGACATCTGTCTCTGCGGAGCCCACCCTTCTCCTGTGCCGTCCGCAGTGAGTGTAATATAATAGCAGGGAGAGCAGCCGGGAGTCTAGGAGGAGCCCCGGCAAGGTCGCGAGCAGCATCCTGGTTAGAACAACAGAAAACTCAAGAGGTGGAGCGTTCTGGTTCCGAACAGCCGAAGGTTACCGGGAAGATTTGGATTTTCTGTCGCGGAAGAAGAAGTGGTAAAAGTTCCCTTATTGTTTGTAGTCGCATGTCCGGACGAAGCTAACAGCTCTCCTCCACTGTTTCCACTCTCCAGGCGGCCACCCTGCGTCTCCTCAGGCAGCGTGTTCTTCCCTGTAACTAACAGGCAGTTCATCGTTTGTCACACTTTATTATCCACTTTGGACGGCCAACACAGCTGCTACATTTACACTCCGAGCCATGTCGGAACCATCCTCCGCGCCTTCTGCCCCCTCAGAGACTACCGCCTCAGAGTTTGATCTCCTAGCCCCGGACCCCGGGCAGAGGCCGCTCGGTCCGACGCCCAGTCAGAGCCGCTTCCAGGTGGACCTTGTGTCCGAAGCCGCGGGCGCCTCTGAGGAGAAGTCCCCGAGCTCCGACGGCTCCGCTGTCGCACCAGAAGGCCCGTGCGGTGACCCAGCAGTGGCCAGCGTGGAGGAAGCCAAAGGCCGGTTCCGAGTTGTGAACTTCGCGGATTCGAGCGGAGCGGGAAGCGCGGCCTCTCCCGAGGCGGCCCCAGAGGGGCTACAGAACGGGGACACGGTGATGAGCGAGACCAGCCTGCACTCATCTACGGGCGGCCAGCATCACTATCACTATGACACCCACACCAACACTTATTACCTGAGGACATTTGGACACAACACCATTGATGCCGTGCCCAAGATAGATTTCTACCGGCAGACGGCGGCTCCGCTCGGGGAGAAACTCGTCAGACCCACCCTGTCGGAGCTCCACGATGAGCTGGACAAGGTAAGCTGATTTTGCTGCTGATGGTTTAAATGAGACGAAAGTTATGACCTACTGTTTAAAATCACGATTTCCAGACGTCATCATATTCAGATGCAGAGCATCTCTCCAGGACGTGTCTGCTGTGCATCAATGAGGACATGCTGTGTGCAAACAAACTGTTTCTGCTCAGATGCTCATTTCATGTCTTCACATTCCTGCTGGAGCTTAAGAGAAGATAAGGACAGGGAAAACAGCCAGGAGTTACTTATTTTTAATCTAAATCACTGCAAATTTGACAAGGTTTTTGTTTAAACAAATTGAAGAACTTTAAATAAACTTTGAACACATACCAAGCTCTTGTAGTTAAGTTAAGTAGTAAGAAATTGGCAGCATTTTAATTTTCAACATGTCAAAAGTTTTCATCTGTCACAAAAGTTGTAGGGATGTGGATAAATTTTTAATCCTACACCAATATTAAATCCGACAGCGGATTCCAAAAGAACATTTCAAACCAAACAAAATAACACCGAAATCATGTGATTATCTGAAGTATGAGGGAAGTTATTGATGTTTGTTCAGGTGAAATCAGCTCATGTTTTCTTGCTGAAGTTCACAGCAGAACCAATGTGACCATTTCACCTTGCTGTTTTCTAATTTTGTTCATAACTTCCTCAGTGTTCAAGATATCRCCATGAAATTTTAGGAAAAGATTCCCATTCTGGTTTTGTAGGAAGCATCTTGTATCCTAAAAACTAATAAAACTTAATAATAGCCAATTCAAAAGTAGCAGAAAAGGTATAAAATAACATTACAAGGCAAACTGTAGCATCAAATCAACTTAATGTGTCTTAGAAAGTAAGGAAATTAAAACAATTAAAAAAACATCTGTTTTGTAAACAAAGCTCCTCAACCAATGACAGCGTGTTAAATGTGTCAGGTGACGAAGACAAGCGTCAACACACTTTGCAACAAGCGCTGTTCTGGATAAAAATAAATACTTCGACGTTTCAAATCATTATCAAATTTGGAAGAAGGGCAGATAAAATAATGTTCTTCATGGCAGCTTATCTCTTTAAGGGGTCACTAGAAAAACTCAGGTGATTTACTTTGATCCTCTTTTCAAAAAATTTTCTTCAAAACACATCAACAAAAATTAAAAACTGGAAGACGAGGCTGTAGCTGACGTCAGCCTGATTTATTGAAATTCCTAGAAATAACGAAGCAGGAGGAAATTACAAGCAAATGCACCGAGCAGCCTCGCAAAATCTGGTCACAGCAGTTTGGGAAGAAAATGGCAGCAGCTGCTGACGAAATGTCAACATCCCTAAAAGTTGGTAGGATTTTTAGATTTACTTGTAAATTTTTAGTAAATATTCTCTGATGATGGTTCATAATGAGTTATTTCTGTGTTTAGATAAAAATATATAACATATTTTTTTTTGTAAAAACTAAACATTGTGCAAAAAGTAAGGAAAGTATATGTTTGGTAGATTATTTCTTTGTTTTAACAATGCTTCTTGGCAGTAAATATACAGTTAAAAAGTCTGTTAATTTCCCTTTTTAAATGGTGCCACATTTGTAAGGAACATGCAGTTGTGGGATGAGCAGTACAGCTGAGTATGTGGATTGCACACATGAAAAATTTGCCAATTCCTCCCTGCCAAACAACTTTTTTCTGTTGCTATCGACTCTTGATTTGAGTTTCTTGTACCCACAGGTGCTGCTAATCAGGTGCCTGGTATAAGAATTAATTCCAAGTATAATGTATCTAAATCCAAGTTTATTAAGTTTAATAATTTGTTACCTTTTCAGCATTTTCCTCATGCAAAAAAACAAAAACGTACATGCTGACAGATTTGTTGATTATTGGTATCTACAGTAAATACCATACTGAAAAACACAAACCTCTAGTCCAGGGCTACTTGACTAAATTTCTCTGGGGGTCACAGTTAGTGCAGGCCAACAGCTGAGGGGTCGAACATCCAGCAATTAAAGTCATTATGTAAATAAACTAAGTATTACAAAGATCTGTTACCTTTGAAATAGTTTATTTTGATGGATTTAATCATGAATACAACATAAAGAACCCTGTGTAATAAATAAATGATATTAAAACAAAATCGAAAACAATTGACACAAATATTTTGACATATTTAACTTGCCACATTTTTAAACCAATTTTATTTTTTACTTATCTTAATTTTATATTCCACTGCTTGTAGTTTTAAGTGTTTTGGGTTTTCATTCAAATGGTTTTTACAAGCTTTTGGCCAAGATTAAGATGTTTCTGTATACCCCGCGTCTCTGTTTAGCTTAAAGAACTAATAGTAAATAAAATAGAAAACCGATGGTTTGGGCTTAAGAACCAATGAACTTAATGAACCAATTGGTGGGCCGGATTTTGGTCACCAGTTGGCCTGATGTGGCCCGCGGGCCTCCAGTTGAATAGCCCTGCTCTAGTCCATTGGATTGGGAAAAATGACTTTTTGCGCCACTAGGAAAATAAAGCATCTTTTGTTAAAAATTGAATTCTGAGCAAATTTCTTCCTGATTATGATCAATGCAGTATTCCAGCCCACCAGCCTAAAAAAAAATACAGCAATGCGACTGGTACAGGAACCATGCTCCGTCCCTCCAAGCAGTTTTTTGTTACAACTAGTTATTTTGTTCAGTGTGATTAAATTTGGTTGTTTGCCTTCAGCCAAGAGACCTCCTCCTGAACTTAATCTCTGTATAGTTTAAATTCTTTAAGCTTTTGATTTGCAGACATTTTGCACCAAAAAACATACTTGTTTCATGTGAAGTCTGGAGACTTATTAAAATTGTTTCCCAATAATTTAAAGTTTTATTATTTTTTTAATGACAGAAAATGAAGAAAACGTATTTCTTTTAATGTAATATGAGCAACACAACTAAAAGCAAGTGGTAATATTGCAAGTTACACGATTCAGTTGAGAGATTTCAATCTATCGACACTGTCTTCTAAAAGTCAGGCATGGGGCAAAAAGGTGTTGTGAATTTGTTCACCTTCTCTGGGCTGTTCTAACAGTGACTAATGTGAAGTTAAAAACTTTTCTCTTTTTCACAAGGAATTTGAAACTGGAATTTATGAGTGTTTTGAATCTGGGTCAAAGTTGTCTCTTCACTAGCAAGACTGTGCCAAACCACATAATGCTCATATTGGTACAGTAGTCTGAGTCTGTAAACTAAACCGGCCAGTCACCTACTGCAAACAACTGGTTCATTATACAGGTGCACCCCCCACCCCCTCAAAAATAAATAAAATAAATAAATAAACACACACACACACACTGTTAAAAACATTACTGTACTGCTCTGCTGCCCCCACCACCTTACTTCTGTTACGTTGGACGTGCTGGGCCTCATCAGCAACATTTTTGAACCATAAGGTTCAGAGCTTTAGTCCTTCCAGACCCTACACCTTGGTTTTATTGGAACCTGGTGTTGTACCAGACTTCTGCCTTTGAAATTGTGACGTTCTTCAATATTTCTCTTCTAATTGTCATTGTGTCTTTCATTATTGCAGCTTTGCATTATGAGAGCTAATTTTGCAATTCTGCAAACAACATGCAAAACAAAGTGGCTCTGTGTTATACCAAACACTGAGGTTTATGTAAATTGTCAGGTTATGACCAAAATACAGAGTTGTATAAAGTACCACAAAGTGATCCTTGAGTAAAACTACAAGCAGCTTACCAAAAAATTACTTTGGTAAAAGTTATATTCTCCTTTAGGAATATTACTAGAGTAAAAGTCTTAAAGTTTCTGATTTTTTTTGTACTTAAGTATTAAAAGTAAAAGTATTAATTTAAAATGAGCAGTTAGATTTTCTGTAATGACATTTATTAGGAGGTGACCTCCCCAAAAAATACCGTATTTTTCGGACTATAAGCCGCACCGGACTATAAGCCGCACCCCCAACATAAAAAAAAAACAGTACACCCAAAGTTGTCGTCAAAAAAGTGAATTCAACATCAAAACATAAAAAGCAAACCTTTAAGAATTAAAGTTCGGAGGAATACGGTTCATTTAACTGACCTTATTTTGGTAGTTTTCTTTAACAGTTTCTGGTCCAACAAATCGTCTAATTCATCGTCCTCCAGCGCACTGAAAACATTGAAGTCCTCCTCTTCAGTGTCGAAGTTAAACAAGCTGAGAAAAGCTGCGTCACACAGTGGTATCTGTTCAGTGTTGCTTTCTGTGTGGCTGTCCTCCCAGGGTAATGCTGGCTCTGAAGCTGTGGTGTCCTCTTCACGTAGCAGTCCAGCCTTTCAGAACCCATTGGTGATGGTGGACTCATTCACTCTGCTCCACACTGTTAGGATCCACTGGCAGACATCAGGAAATGACGCTCTTCGCATTCGGCCAGTTTTTGTGTATGATTTATCCCCGTCAGTCATCCAAGCCTCCCATTCABCCCTGAGKGCTGCTTTAAATGCACGATTCACACTGAKGTCCAGGGGTTGCAAAAACTTTGTTGTACCTCCARGAATAACAGCAGGAATTGAGTTTGTTTTCTTGATGGCTGCTTTCACTGAATCCGTGATGTGGGCCCGCATACTGTCCAATATCGTATCTGTCGAAGATCCGTCGTGTCGTGTCTGCTACTAGCTAAAACAAAATGGCGCTACACCTCCAGCTAAGCTGGCAGTATGGTCGCTCAGCTGTTGACCGGTCGACGCGCCGTCACGTGATTGTTCGGCGTTTGTTTTCGCACTGACCTTTCATAGTTCCCCCGAGAAACCCAGAGCCCAGCTGCTGGGAAAGCCCTCCTGCTCCAGCATACGTCACTGCATGGGATTCCTTCCCTGGGGAGTGCAATGCGGAAAAAAAAGTCAGCGGCTCTTCACTCGACGTTTATCCACAAACTGGTCCTGGATTAAGCTCCAAAGTTTTTATCAGTCAGATTCCACCGTGAAAAATGTCTGTTTTATCCCCTTTTTTGAGTTTTTGGCCATTGACTATCTTTAAATCACTTCTTCCTGGTCAAAAGTTGGCTC